TTCTGTGGCCTGGACGCTAAGCGCCCCGCGGCGCCGTTCTTTAGGGCTGCCCATTGTGTGCCGAATTTTCACGGTCCGAATTTGCTTAATTTTGAAATGACCCGTGATGGCCGGGCTGTGTGCTAACCCACCTCCCCCCACACACACACGACTTGAGCTGCTCTGGCTAGCGGTCAGGGACATTGTTGTTGTTGTTTTTCGTCGTCGAATGTGGAGTTTTATCGTCCGCAGCCGGAGACAGCGAAGCACGAGACCAGGGTGGCGATGGGTGGGGCACGTGCGCAGGGTGGAGGAAGATATGGTAAGCAACTTGGCTATTCCCGATTAGAACGAAGCTAGAGGGCTGCTGTAAGATACGGTGGGTGGGCCACACGTGTGCAGGGAGGTGGCCGATACGGGCATTGGAGTGGCGATCGGAGGTTGGTGACCAAGGGGAAGAGCGGAAGGTGACGGTCGTGGCGGTGAGATTGTCACAGTAACCCTTCGAGGACTTGCCACTGCGTGACAAGGAGAAGACCCAAAGCCGGATTGCGATCGGGAAGTAAGAGCGGATCCAGGGGAGCGCCGGGCATCGACTGGGCAACAGCTTGCGGGACCTGGCAGAAGGAAGGCGGCGATGGCGAGGTGCCGTCGGGGGGGGTGGGGGGGGCATCAACGGCGGTCGAGACGCCGCTACGACCGGGAGCGACTCCCTCGTGGCTCGCGTTCCCCCCCCCCCCCCTGCGGTGCTGCGGTGTCGGCGGCGATTCACGAATTCGGGGTTGAGGGGGGGCATCGTTTTAAACGCCGCCGCCGCCACCACCGCCGCTGCCGCTTTGTGTTGACAAAGAGAGAGAGAGAGCAGAGAGCAGAGAGAGCAGAAGCGCGATCCCGTTCCGTTAATGAGCGACGCCCCTCGCCGCAGACTCCGCAGCAGCAGCGCAGCGCCTCCTCTTTGTGCGCTCGCCGCCGCAGCTGCCGCCGCCGCCGCCGCGTGGCCGCGCCGAACGCGCGCGCCCGCGGGGTTCGCTTTGGTCTCGGGGCTCGCAGCGGGGCAGCTCAGGCGACGAGCCGAGCGAGCGAGCCGACACGGGCGGGCATGCCCCCACGCAGGCGGCTTCCAGCTTTGTGAAGTGACAAGTTCAAATCCCAGGCGGGGCTCTGCCATTCGTCGTCCTCTTCGTTATTGTTATCGTCGCCGCCGTCGTCGTGATAATTTGATATTCGTCATTATCACGTGTGGCTGTCAACGACATCGTCATCATCGTGATCATCACCACACTCGTCCGCATCATCATTCGTATCAACATCGTAATCGTTAGCTGTGACCAAATCACCCCGAGCGCGCCCGTTCCGTCAGATCTCGGGATTCCAAGCAGGCTTGAGCCTGGATCGCGCTCGGACAGGTGACCGCCATACGTGGACAGGCGTCCAAGGTTGCTAGGCCAAGTGGTTGGCAGCGGAGAGCAGTGCGAGACGAATTGTTGCACTATCTCCTCTGCTCCCCGTGTGTATGCAACGTCAAACAACCTCCACGACCCGCGTGCCACGTGAAGGCCCTTGTCCAGCAGTGGATTAGCTTAGGGGCCGTCCATTACATTGTGCGCGGACTTGCCAGCTGCGGGCTTCACATCGTGTTTCTCGATCAGCTGCCGCCACCAACCAGACCAGCGACGGAGCTGTCGAGTGCGCAGGCGGTGCGACTGCACCCGGGGCCAATGTGGCGGGAGGGGGCCACGTCCCGGGCCACGAAGAGACGGGAGACATTGAGGATGTAAAGCGGGAGACGCCGTTTCATCCCTTGCACCAGGGCCCACGCTCACACGCATCGCATTCTCGGAACAAAAAATGAAAATGCGACGTCTGACAGTAAGTCAACCAGATACTCGCCCTTTCTCTCACCCGCGAGCCCATCAGCCACGAGTACTATCCCTGCCACTGACTCGTGACACTAACCACAGGCAACCAGCCACGAGCCGAACAAACTAGCTAACAAGCAACCACTGATAATCTTCATAGTGGCTCGAACCCTATTCATAGACCGACCTCCATTGCTTTGCCGAGACTCCCTTTTTATTTATTTTAGTTGTTGCTGGATTTTCAGCCTTGGCATCCACAACACCTCCAATTAAACACGCTCCCGCAGACGCGTATAATAGGGAGATTATTTTGTTTCGGTTATTATAAATTCACTCTGGACCACGTGAGGACGCTTCCCGCATAGTAACGATGATGCCGCAGCACGTAACACTGATTGGACATTCTCGTTTAATTGCCACCAGAGGAAGAGGAAGATTAATTAGATGTTAATTGTTGCCAAAGCTAATCCCCCCCGCCCCCCACCCATTAAGTATGTGCGTAGGGCCAACGATAGCTAGCGACCTCCAAAAACCTAAGCTCTCTCTGCGATACGGGCGGTTCAACCCCACAACCAGATTTCCAGGCGCCGTCCCATCGCACAGACGTGTGACTGCGTTTCGTTTTGCCGGATGCGGCCACAGTGGTGTAATGGTGAGCAGCAATCCAAAGGTCACCGCTGCGATCCGATTTCCCGGCGCGGCAGTTAAAATAATGTAGAAAGTTTCCTAAATCCCACCACCACCCTCGCTCTGTCCACCCAGCGGTGTAAATGGTTACACATCAGTGTAGGTGCTGGCATCTCTCCCAAGACAAAAGCCCTCCAGAGGGGCCCTCTACAGCTCCCTCTAGTGGAAACTCTTCCGCTAGCAGTGTCGTGAGCAAAGCATTGCAGGGCTGCGCATTTACACAATAGCCCTGCACGAAGCTGCATTGCGTGTGTGATGATCAGCCAGCGTGAATCCACGACTTGGCTTTGCCCTCCTCCATCACCAATTTGTGTCACTCTTTTTAACCTCGGTTAACGTTTTGTAGAATACACAAAGCGCACTGCCAGTAGCAAAGGTCCCTGATTCCTTCTGCTCGGAATGGGCTACAACTCAACTCTGTGCGACAAAACATTCTCTCATACGAGCTGCGATTGAAAGACCCACACACAGACGGACGGATACGGTCGCTTAAAATGTGGATTCTTATTCGATGGCCACGTCTTTTTTTGGAGGAAAGAAAATAACCACACACATCAAAAGTAGACTAGTCAAAGTGACCTCTTGCTCAGAGTGTCCCCTAGGCTGCCGCTCATCTTATGTTGACACACCTGAGCTACTCGTGGTAATTCCACATTCCTATGGCGGTGCCCGGTGTGTCAGAAACAACAGCCACCGTCTACGTCCCGCAAAATAATTGGATATAAAATTCAAAGCGTGCCACGTGCCATGTGTAACACAGTGAGCCCCGCGTGCCATCATGTGATGAGTGCACCCGTGTAATCGCAATCACATTAGCGCCCTCACTGAGTCTCAATACTTGTTTTCTGACGGGTCCTGCATTTGATTGGGATGTCTGGCCAATCCCATTAATAATAAAAATAACAAATTATAGAGAGGCGATGACTGCACCTATCCTGGACCTTCTTTCGGTCGATTCCGCCTCAAATGCTTACCTGGTGCGGTGTGTCAACGCCAGCACTGGGGAGACAAAGGCGCTCGTGCGTCGTGTCGTCCTTCATAGGTGCTACTCGCTAACAGCACTTTCCAAAACAGTCTGTTCAAAGGCTACACGGGGGATCTTAGCCTCTGTGTTTGTGTGTGTGAGAGAGTAAACACACACCGTCGGTGCTTTAGAATGTTGCCTTCGCGCACAGAACAGGGGACGCAAACGTTGCCAAACACAGCTGCTTCGCGGGGCCTTTCGCGAAGTCAGTTGTCGCCGGAGTTCCCCGACCGTCCATCCCTCCGCAGTCTCTTGTCCGCTCAACAAATCGCGCGACTCCTCTGTGAGCGCGCGTGCGTGCGCGTGCGTGATGGACATCTGTGGCACGCAGAGGCGTGCGGGCTCCAGTTTGCACCGTTTAAATGGCTAAACGATCACCATCATACTCTTTGGTTCTTTCGGTAAAATCACGTAGGTATAAAATACAATAAATCACGACGTTTCGGGCGGAACACAAGCGTCCATCATCAGGTGGGAAAGCATGGTCTGCTGCTGAGGCAGACTGTTTGTGTTGCACCCGAAACGTCGTGATTTATTTTTTACCTACGTGACTTTACCGAAAGAACCAAAGAGTATGGATTCCTGCAGTCACGAAAGCTTCAAATCAAGATTGATCACCATCATCATCAGCCATGGCCAATCCACTACTGGTTGAAGGTTCCTCTCTCTTTCGTTAAATGGTCCAACGTTTAACGGGTCCCCCACGGAATGCGGTGCCATCTCTCCCCGAGTACAACTCGGCGCAATGCGGTGTTGATTTAGGTCGCGTCGAGGCAATACACTATAATGGTACATAACATGCATCACGGCGACACAAGGCATATACAGACTTGTTATTTATTTTACTCGGAAGAAGGACCATTGACAGAAACGTTATCTAATTACATTAATAACACTCCCTGATTTATGACTATTGTCTGAATGTGCCGCTTGTTGTTCGACGTTTCGCAGCACCTGGTGAGAGGTTCTTCGTGAACTTGCGGGGTGGGGGGAGGGAGGGGCGCATTAAAAAAAAAACAATTCACCGAAGCAGCTTCCACCAAAGCACGTGGACCAAAACGTCGGACACCGTGCCGAACACAGCGCGATGCAACCCGAACACGCCACCGCAGAGCTGGTGGCATTTGCTCCGGCTACAGGGCGGTGTTAATCGCGAATTCGAGCGTGATTGTAGTCGTGTTGGCGCTTTGCATCGTCCTCTTTGAACGCCGCGGTGAGTCTGGCTGCCGCTGCTTCTCGAGCCACCGTTGGTGCTCCGGCAGCAGCAGCGGCAGCAGCAGCGGCAGCAGCAGCAGCAGCAGCGGCAGCAGCAGCAGCGGCAGCAGCAGCAGCAGCGGTATGAGAATCGTGCGTGGGTGGCTCCTGGGTGCGGGACCAAGCAGCAGCAGCAGAAGAGGAATAAAGGGGAAAACGAGGAGGAGGATGATGAGAACGGATCTCAAGTCACTCACCACTTGCAGGGCGCAGATGAAGACCAAGGAGCACCGTCCCGTACAGCGACGCATTCCGATGGCTTCCTCCCTCGCAGCTGGCAGCTCCTGTGCAGCTCGCAGGCTCTAGCCCAGCTCACAGTCTCTGTCTCTCTCTCTCTCACTCTCTCCTAGCTCGGTCTCCCAGCTCGCAGCCTCTGTCCAAGCTCGCAGTCCCTCCCCTGCCCCCCTCTCTTTGCGTGCGTTGATGTCTGTGTGTGTGTGTGTGACCACACGTGCCCTTTCGCACGCTATGTGATTCCACCAAAATCTCTAGCCTAGACTGTCGAGTGTATGGTACTCGAGTGTACGTATAGAGTGCACTAGATTGTACTGTAGACTATACACGTGCACTCTGATTATGCGCGCCCCGCACTGCGTAATTGCGTAACCGCGTCCGCGGAGCGAGTGGGGGGCGAGGCGTGCTGGTTCTGTTGGGTTCGAGAATTGATGAATCGATGCATTCGGTAGAGAATTTAATTCAATTTCTGTGGCTTTAGTTTCCACTGCTGAACGGACAGAATTCCCCGTCTCTCGTTCCGTCTCTCTCTCTCGCCCGCTGCGAGTGCCGTCACTGAGCCGAGCCGCGTGTGTTTCTCTTTTTGCTCGCTGAGAGTGCGCGTCCCGCAGGAGTCTAAAGGGGGAGAGCGACGAGGAGGGGAGGAGGAGGAGGGGTGAGGAGGGGAGACGAGGGGATGGGGAAGGGAGGAGACCGAGGGAGCAGAGGGGAGGGGGAGATGGGCAGGAGAGAGGGTGGGAGGAGTCAGTCTGGGCTCGCGTTGTGGGGGGCGGGGTGAGTGGGGGGGGGAGGCTGCGGGGTGAGTGGGGGGGGGGGGGCTGCGGGGTGAGTGGGGGGGGGGCTGCGGGGTGATTGTGGGGGGCTGCAGGGTGAGTGGGGGGGGCTGCAAGGTGAGTGGGGGGGGGCTGCGGGGTGAGTGGGGGGAGGCTGCAAGGTGAGTGGGGGGGGGGCTGTGGGGTGAGTGTGGGGGGCTGCGGGGTGAGTGGGGGGGGCTGCAAGGTGAGTGGGGGGGCTGCAAAGTGAGTGGGGGGGGCTGTGGGGGGGGGCTGCGGGGTGAGTGGGGGGGGCTGCAAGGTGAGTGGGGGGGGCTGCGGGGTGAGTGTGGGGGGCTGCAGGGTGAGTGTGGGGGGCTGTGGGGTGAGTGGGGGGGGGCTGTGGGGTGAGTGGGGGGGCGGCGGGGATCGCCGCACATTCGCGCCGAATGCGGCCCGTGATGCACACACGTACACACACACACGTGCACACGTGTGTGTGTGCACGTGTGTGTGTGCACGTGTGTGTGCACGTGTGTGTACGTGTGTATACGTGTGTGTGCACGTTTGTGTACGTGTGTGTGCACGTGTTTGCACGTGTGTGTGTACTTGTGTGTGTACGTGTGTGTGTGTACGTGTTATGTGCCGTATGTGTATGTTGCGTTGTATTCGTATGTCACCCATGTGTGCATTAATGGTTATGGAGAGCGGTGGCGCAGTGGTTAGCGCAGTTCGATCCACGTTAAAGACCAATCACAATGGCTAATTTTTTAACCGGTCCGGGTCTCCGCTAGGTTGACTCAACCTCAAATGGCTACCTGTTGCGGTGTGTAAACATCGCCACTGGGAAGACAAAGGCGGTCGGGCGTGGTGTTGGCCACCCACCCCCCTCGCGTGCCGTGCCGGCCTTCATAGTCTGTGAAGGCTACCTGGAGGGTCTGTGTCTTTGCGTGTCCGTACGACTGAAGCTGGTGTAGGTGGTGACTGTAGCCATGGTGATGATCGTTGCATGACGATGTGATAACGATAGGTGTAGCAGTGACGATGCAGTGATGGTGATGATGATACAAATATTAACGTATCATGCAGAAGGACCATTGCCCGAAACGTTACTCATAACACAACATAATACAATGCAAACACCCGTCGTATGTGTGTGTCATCACGGTGATATTTGGCATCTGCAAGAAAAACATCAATTAAAGGCAATACATTGATCATAGCATTGATGATGATCTTTGCTTGTGTTGACGCTAAACAGCTCAGCACTGATTGTACCCTCCCACAGTAACCTCCCACAGTATACACATCACAGTACACACACCACAGTACACACACCACAGTACACACACCACACACACCACAGTACACACACCACACACACCACAGTACACACACCAAATACACCACAGTACACACACCGCAGTACACACACCACAGTACACACACCACACACACCACAGTACACACACCACACACAACACAGTACACACACCACACACAACACAGTACACACACCACACACATCACAGTACACACACCACAGTACACAAACCACAGTACACACCCCACACACAACACAGTACACACACAACACAGTCCACACAGCACAGTACACACAACACAGTACACACACCACAGTACACACACACCACAGTACACACACAACACAGTACACACACCACACACACCACAGTACACACACCACACACACCACAGTACACACACCACAGTACACACCACATTACACACACCACAGTACACACATCATAGTACACACACCACACACAACACAGTACACACACCACAGTACACACAACACAGTACACAAACCACAGTACACACACACCACAGTACACACACAACACAGTACACACACAACACAGTACACACAGTACACACCACAGTACACACACCGCAGTACACACCCCACACACAACACAGTACACACATCACACACACCACAGTACACACACCACACACACCACAGTACACACACCACAGTACACACAACACAGTACACACACCACAGTACACACACCACAGTACACACACCACAGTATACACACCACAGTACACACACCACAGTACACACACCACACACACCACAGTACACACACCACAGTACACACACCACAGTACACACACCACACACACCACAGTACACACACCACAGTACACACACCACACACACCACAGTACACACACTACACACACCACAGTACACACACCACAGTACACACACCACAGTACACACACCACACACACCACAGTACACACACCACACACACCACAGTACACACACCACAGTACACACATCATAGTACACACACCACAGTACACACACCACAGTACACACACCACACACACCACAGTACACACACCACACACACCACAGTACACACACCACAGTACACACACCACAGTACACACACCACAGTACACACACCACACACACCACAGTACACACACCACAGTACACACAACACACGGAGCTCTGTCCGGCCACGTGCCCAGGGGATGACAGTCTGGCAAGTAAAGCGTCATAACTATGATCATCAGCAGCAGCAGCCACGGTCAATCCACTGCTGGATGAATGCGTCCCCAAACCGTCGCCACCTGTCACGATCCTGCGATGGTAATCGTCGGTTGACGCCCTCTCGTTCAATCTGTGCGGGACTTTGCGTAATTTATCCCCTCCTGTGTGTGCGTGGTGGGTTATTTACAATTGCTTTCTTATAGAATGGGCCAAATATCTCCGCGTAGCAGAACCCCTCCTGACGAAGAGTCTTGAATCTCCGCGAGGCTTTGCAGGTGAAACGAAGGGCGTTATCGTTGTTTTTGTTGTTTTATCCCGGAAAGACTCACTGAACCTCAACACCGCTATTCTAGAGGATCCTGCTATACACTGGGATGCTTTGGCCAATCCCATTAATGCCGTGGGTTCCATGTGGCGGGAAACCGGAGAACGCGGAGAAAGGGCATGGTAATAAATACATCGTCAAATAAACACCAATCAATCAACACGGATGGAGCCGTGGCACGGTGGTTAGCGCACTGCTCTCTGAACCCGACGACCTGAGTTCGATTCACGACTACGGAGAACATCGGTGGCGAGCGATATCCGTTCCTAGATCTCCCCTGGGTGGACTCAGCCGTAAATGAGTACCTGGTGCGGTGAGTAAACGTCAGCACTGGGGAGACAAAGGCGGCCGGGTGTGATGCTGGCCACGCTACCCCTTTGTGCGCCGTTTCGGCCTTCATAGGTACTCGCTAACAGCACTTGCCCAAACGGCCTGTGCAGGCTACACGGGCGACCTTTGTCTCGCGCAAAGCTTCGTGGTGAACTTTCTCTGTCGGCGCGGTGTTAGCGACGCGACCTGGAGACGGGGCGGAAGAGAAACCGCTGCTCCGTCGTCTTCGTCGTCTTCTTCTTCGTCGTCTTCTTCTGCGTCTTCTTCTTCTTCCTCTTCTTCGTCTTCTTCTGCATCTTCTTCTTCGTCGTCTTCGTCGTCTTCGTCTTCTTTGTCTTGGCCCAGAAAGGGAACCCGCACGCATTCCCGCGCCACCGTCACCGAACAACCCCTCTCCGAGATCGTTCGGCCGCGATATTCAGTCCGAGTGGTAAATACACAAATACACGAATACACGAATACATGAATACACAAATACACGAATACACAAATACATATACAAATACACGAATACATGAATACACAAATAAATGAATACACGAATACAAAAATACATAAATACACAAATGCATGAATACACAAATACATGAATACACAAATACATAAATACACGAATACACAAAAACATAAATGCACGAATACATAAATACACGAATACACGAGACGGCGGAGTCGCGCGCTCTGCGCGGTCACCCAGGCGGTTATCGACCCACACTTTGCTTTTAGATTTTTGCCAAAAAGCAGCGAGGCCCCTCGGGGTAGGGGGCTGGGGGGGGGGCTGGGGGGGGTATCGTATGCACATCATCATCATTATCACCACCACCACCACCGTTGGGGCGGACAGAGAGCGGCAGGGGCTCACGGTGACCAGAACCTGAGTTCGTTTCCTGGTCAATAGCCCCAAAGACATCGTCGTCGTCGTGGTCATCCTAATGACGCGGCGAGGCTGCTGCACTTCATAGAAAGCCAGGAAGAGCTTGTGCTGTTGATGTCCTGGTCTCTGTCATAAGAACGTGGAATTGTACCCCAAATGGATGAGGACCGCAGGGGGAAATGAGCACCTGCCAACCAAAGCTCCTGAGAGAAGAGGGGCAACTCTTGGTTGTCAGCAGGGGGCCGTGCAACAAATACATTGTTGTACTGCACTACGCTTCGACGTCTACGCTCCCTGGCTTCACAAGCCCGCATTGATGAGCGTGGTGGAGTTTGGTCAAATAACCCACAAGGCGTGGATGGGCCCTCATCCACCAGTGAATTGACAAATGGTGTTGCACGTGTACGTACCCCTGTGTACATACCCTGTACACGTGAGCCCTGGCAATAAAGTACAGTTAACGTGATTAACTTCGCAGTAAGATATCGTCTGTGTGTGTGTTCATGCTCGAACGAACGCCCAGCGACGATCATGTGCTTTGGTGCATCTTGGACAAGCGGTGGAAATTCCACATTCCTTTGGCGAGGAACTGTCCATCCGCGGGACAGCCCCCGTGCTGATATTCCCCTCCCCACACTGGTATTCGTTTGATCCGTGTTCGTTTTTGGGTTGAGGCCACGTGGTGGTACATTTTTCATGCCAACATCATTGTCAAGAACCCTCCACCACCCAACACGATTATCACGCGTGACCAATGTGCCGATTACATTCTGCCCGATGAACCTCCTCCTCAGCGGTGGCTTCAGAATGTTCACGGCTGAATTCAACATCGACGTAGGGCG